TTCAAATCAAATGAAATGTATATAATTATTATCAAATTATTGGCAAAATGAAGTAACCTCTATACTACTCATTTTATCAACATTATTATAATCTCATTTCCCTATCTCATAACCTACAACTTGTTCTTATTTATAGAAAAACTTTTGTAACACCACAAAAAGAAATTACTAGAACAATTTCATAACGGAAATTCTATTTTGTTTACATCTAGAAATTCTGGTGAGCTTAAAACTTATGCTAGGAAGATATCAAAGTTAACACAGGGTGCGTAGCCAAATTATTCAACAAAAAATAAGCACCTTTTAAACAATTTTCAAGCATTCAAAAAATATTTTTAAGCACTTTTAAAAAATAAAATAATTAGCCAGGGTTGTAAATTTTTTGACAATTGACGGTTTTATCTTGTTTTAACCGTCATGTTAAAAAAGAAAAAAAAAAACTTTTGGAATTATTTTTGACAATTGTCAAAAATCATGACATTTTGAATCATGTAAAACGAATGGCGTTTTCATACGCTACGGACTAACAATACGCCGAAATAGATTGGGGCTGAATTAATTGTGAAAACGTTGACTAGGACAATGTGAACTGTACCTTTTTGCATAATTCGAAGCGAAAATAAACATAGTAAAGGAAAAATCTCATTTCGAAAAAGGGAAAATTAAGCACTTTTTAAAAACACCCAATGAAAAAAGCACCTTTAAGGGTTTTTAAAAAACGAAAATCGTAAATAAGCACCTTTAAGGACTTTTTTAAACACTACGCACCCTGTAACAGATTAGCTCATAGCTTACGTGTAAAAATTAATATTGAGTTTGAAATCGAAACTAAAATAAAAAATTTTAAAACGCTACGCACTCTGTAGCAGATTAGCTTATAGCTTACATAGAAGGATATGTAAAAATTAATTTTGAGTTTGAAATCGAAACTAAAATAAAAAATAAATTAAAAGTGCTAATAAAAGATTATAAATAAAAAGGCAGATGAATAAAATATTTCATAAAGAACATCACAGAATTACAGGAGAAAAGTCTATTAGATGGGGAAAAAATGTACTAATAAGGCCCGATATCAGCCAACATCAGTTTCTCGCAAGTTCCCTTATACCTTGCAGCTGAAACGTAACCTAAGTAATAACGACAGATACGAAAAAAACCCTTAAAAAAATATTTGTCAAGATTTCTTTACTCGTTAAAAATTCAAACATAATTTTTTTCTTATCACAAATATTCAAGTGACCTCTTCACACGTTCAGGTCGCGAAAGAACTATTTGGCCTTTTCATAAAAAAACCTGGTCACATTCTATTGATATGATTCCATTTATGCGAAGCGCCACGTTTTCTCATCCCTTTTCTTCTCGGAGATTCAGAGGATAGAAAGAAAAAAAAATAAAGAAATGCAAGGAACAAGCTGACATAAAAAGTTGGACGTGATCTTACTCTTTATTGAATCTTATATATTCGGGACCATACCATTCGAACTCTACAACAACCGAGGGGGGGGGTTAAAGGGCCGGTGGAGGTGAAAAAGCTACAAGCATAAATATGAGACTAAGAAAGAGCACTTGGCGCGAAAAATAAAGAAATAAAGAATGTGCGACACCATATTCGCTACAACATACATATAAATATATCAATAACGTTCGGAAAAGAGGTAAAAGCAAATGAAACAAACAGATAAATGCATTATGTACTCGTGTTGTAAGAGAAATGTTTTTTTTTTGTTGTTGTTGTTGCCTTATTCAAGATGAGGAATTTATTTTTTTTCTTCCCTTTCTCCTTCGTATAAAGAGTTTAAAAAAAGTGTAAACTTTTCAATAAATAATGTTATTTTTTGCTCGAAGTATAAAATTTAAATTTACGCGAGTTGAAAGTTAAGTAGAACTTTTAAATCAAAAGATGTTTTACTTTAGTTTGAAATATGATCCTCATTTTGAGACTAAGACACTGACTTTATTCAGAACATGAATTGCGGAGTGATATAACATAATTTGAAAACAGAAAATATTTTTATTTGAGGATGGCGAAAGAGGGAGTTTTTACGTGTCATAAGCGTAATTCTTTTGATCACGTAAATATGTTACAAACGTACAATCAATGATTCTGATTGCGTTCGTAAAGTGAAAAAAATAGAAGCAATTTACTATTGGCACATACTTTAATGTAATAATTCGTAAAATTAAGCATTTTTAAGTTGAGGACAATTAGTTTTGCTATAGTTAGTTTACTAATACAAAGGGAAAAAGAAATTTAAAATGAGCAGGCATTCCGCAAAATTATCCGATTTCTCTAAATCTTAAAAGTATCCGATTTCTCTAAATTTTCTGTGTAAGTGAAATAATCATAGAAAATAAGATATTTGGCGTAATTTTTTTCATCGGTAATTTGAGTAAATTGTAGAACAATTTTTAGACCTTATGGCGAGTGCAGCAACCTAGGAGTGCAACCTCTAGTGTTATTGTTGAAAAAAATTTTAAATATTGCTATTGTTCAAAAAATCGATTTAATTTCTTTTTCGGGTAACTAAAAGAGAACAAGTTCAAAAAAAGAAAAAAGTAAAATTTTTTTATCAAGTGAGCAATAATAAGCATGGAGAGCTAGACAATACATAATAAAATAGTCATGCACTATCATGTACTAATAAAAAACTTCTAATTTAAGTGTAAATTTAGACATTCCTTTGCTTGCTCGCTTTCGTATGCCTGTTTAGGCAGAGGTGTGTAATTGTTCTTGTTTTCTAGTGGCGCCATCTATGGCCAAAAATTCGATTTCTGCCAGACCCATACGTTACACCCGTTTATAGGGCGGACCCATTCATTCATTCATCCACAGAATCCTAATTTTGACCTGAATCAGAGAACGATAGATCTCCCGTACAGTACCCCCAGAGTTAGTGATTTGTTATGGGAACATGGAGGACTTTGCGACTCGACAGATTTAACGTGCATTTCTCACCTTTACTATACGGGGGAGTCTTCGGTAGGCGGGGTTCGAACCCACGAACTCTCGGACATGGGCCCAGTACCCTACTGACCAGGCTATCCCGACCGTTATTCTTTTTTAAACACCATAAACGAAGCTTTAATTTCATGTCTTTCTAGCTCGAATCGCGAACCAATCGGAGAAGAACAGCGGAAGTAGTTGGGGTGGGGGCGTGCGAGCGTAACGAACCCGGTGGTTGGTCTCAATTTCAACACTGTAAAATTATGCTCAAAGGCATATACTAACGCAAATTATAAAATCGAAAACCGGACAGTCTCACTTCAGTTGGCAGGAACAGGTACCGATATGAACCACAAAACGGTTTGTTATCCTTTTATTGGTATCGTAAAAATACAATCTCACCCAAAAAATATCAAGTTCGTATGTAAAGCATGCTAAGCTATTTTAATGCCAGAAAAAAAAAAGTTTGAACAAGAAAAAAACACCAACGTTTGGAGAAGATAGGAATAAGTTGTTTAAATACAGTGGTATTCTATGCATACCCTTTGGACTTTAAAAGTCTTTAAAAGTTCAATCCGATTTTACTGGTATTTTATACAACGATTAATTCCTTTGTTTCTAACTGTTTGCTCCAAACTGCTTTAGTTTGAGAAACGATTTTACTTTAGTTTAAAGCAATAGCTTCGATCATATTGTCATCGGAGGCTGAAGGTTCAGAGAACATTTATCGGGAGAAAAAAACTTGCGCACTTTTTTTTTTTTTACCTTTGTTTTGCTCAAATGTTCTGGATATAAAATTTTATTACTAGCTTGTGTTGAAAAGAATCAAAAGATAAAAACAATCTATGGTAGGAAACAACGGAACCTTCACTGTTAAGTAAAATATTTTTTGCAGCACTTTATGATGAATTTTTCACGCAGAAATGTGACTTTTTAACGTACCGATTTTTCTGACAGATTTCGTTTTCGTTTTTCTTTTTTTTTTAGACTTTCAGGTTTTAAAAATGATAGATTTTCGAATTTTCATATTTTCTTTTTTTTTATATATATAGATTTTCAGATGGTTCGAAAAAATATTATATTTTTTGGTTTTCATTATTTTTAGTGGTGCTAAAATTTTCTATTTTTGGTTTAATATTATTTTTTTATAATTTTAGTTTAAGGTAATTTTGGCAGTTTACGTATATTAATTATTTTAAGACTTTCAGCTTCATAACGTGTTTGTTAACATGGTTTCGTTAGGAAGTATAAAAAAGTAAGAGGTTCATTTTTAAGATCCTAAATCTTCCGTGTCCTATAAAGTGAGCCGTCACAGTTAGATCATAAATAGGCACAATTAATTCGATACTTTTTTTCACACCCTTATATAATTTGAAGAGTACGCATTTTAAGTAGGTGCTCAAAAATGAAATGATCCTTTCCTCCAAGAAGCAACGGCGCCATTTAAAAACATTCCAAAGTTCCAATTTAAGTTTCTAATGAGACGAAGAAAGAAAAAAGTCTGTAACAGAAAAGAGAAGATAAATTTGAGGGAGGAAACCCTCTTACGAAACTCCAATTAAATGTTACAGAGTTAGAGCGAAAATTAAGTAAGAAACGTGACTACTGAAATTGAAGTCTTCGAAAAAATGAATTTCAATAAGATCTATTTTTTCTCTACGAAAGTAAGCTGGAAGGAAAGAATTTAAAACGTTCCATAAATAACAGGTGAAATTGAATCCTGATATTCGATTTTGCAATTGAACTCGAATCATAGATTTGTTTTGATACGAAAACGATTTTTTTTTTGTGTCTCCTAACTCTTCTTTCAATATTTTAATAATCGGTCACCTCGCAATGGACACAGCATTAAAAAGTTTAGAATCGAAAATGATGTTTTGTTCCATATTTTAAATTTCACAAACCAATTCGAAATTTTACTTTTGTCACGCTTAATATTGAACACGTTTTTTTCTCCAGGTAATTGTATATGTAGGGTTACCAAATGTTTTCAAGTAATCGAATGTTAATTTTGCTTTTTTATTAGTTTCACTAATTTTTATCGTTTTCTTTTCAGAAACAACGCTACAATGACATTTCATATGCTATCCAGAAAGGAAGATGGTGAAGAGATTAGATCAACAATCGAACAAATGTTAAAACTGGGAAAATTGGGTAGTTTTGATTTTGACCACGATTACCAAAGAATACACTCAGAACCAGGTGAGAGATCTTTTCTTTGTATGCCTTACACATTATTGTGGCTTAATTAATATCTCAGAAACAATATATATCAAGGACTACGCTAAGTATTCGCCACCTCGCCAAATGCACCAAAATCGTAAATTTGGCGAATAAAATTGTGTCTTGGCGAAAATATTGGCGAACGATTTTTCCACTGAAAAGAACAATTTATATTTAACTGGACCCTCAGAATTAGGTCAAAATGAATTTTTTAAACAAATCAGTATTTTTTATTCGATTACAGTAATTTTCGGTAGATGCACCTCATAACCAATTAGAATTGGGTACAAATAGTATAAGTTTGAAACAAATTACTGTAAAATATTTTACTGTGGGAAAAAATTATAAAAAAGTGTTAAGATTTGCATTTGGCGAAGACTTTCGGAAATTGGCAATTACTTTTGATATTTGGCTAATTTACTGGTTAATAATTTGAAATCCTTAACGCTGACTCTGTATATCACCAAAAAAATATAACGATCTGTGAAAGATCTTTGCTTTCTATCTAATTACCTCTATACCGATTTTCCTAATTAATATTACATCATCAATCAATATCACAGATTATGAAATATCACCTCTATGATCACTATGTCACACTCGCTCTTTTAAAGTTTGTAATTCTACTTTATCATTGGGCTGATTTATGATACTATCTTTGCTTTTATAAGAAACTAGGAGGCTCCGCCCCCTGCTTGCTAACGCTCGCCAACCCCCGAGAATTGCTACGCAATCCTATGTGGTTCACGCCGTGAACCATGGCTCGCTGCGCTCGCTCGCCTATGAACACAATATTCTAGTACAAAGACATAATATATTATCATCAAAGACATAGTATTTTATCATCAAAGACATATTATTTTATCATCAAGGACACAGTATTGTACTTATGTAGAAGAATTCTACCAATGTTCTTATTGGCTTTTAAAAAAGTATATTAGCTATTTAGATTGTACATGGTGAAAAAATCTAAACATTAGCTAAATAAGAACTAAAATTATCAAACATTGCTTCACTAATATTCTGCATTTTAAAGCGTGAAAATTCAATGCATAAATAAACGCGAAATATANTATTTTTAATGTTATTTACATGGTCAGACCAGGTCAGTTTTTTATTAATGGTTAAGCCTAAATATATAGCTTTATCAACTATGCAAAAAGTACTTGCTCCTTATAATTCTTGATCTAATCAGAAATAACTAAATCATCATGGTATCTGAAAATCTTTTAATTCACCCAGGTAAATGAAAATACTGAAATAAGTTTCCCATCACAATGAGTGTCTTTGATAAAGGAACTTACATACATACATACGTACGTATTAGCGTTTTATATAATATAGATATATTATATTTCGATTTTTTTTCTTTCGTTCAATTTTTCTTTCATATGTATATATAAAAGGAATGTGCAATTCAACTTCAGCAATAAATTACATTTAAAATTATTTCAATCGAAGAATGCAGCAAATTTTCCAAAATATTTAATTTTAAACCAGGTGTTACAGGAGAGCACGCTCATATGACGTAATTTCAATATGCCCGTATTTTGTTAGCCAAAAATCTGGAATTTATGGGGAAAAAAAATTAGTTTATTTTGAGAAAATACGTTTTTGTGTTTCGTAATTTATTTTATGTTTAGAATTAATTAATTTGCATAAGGCCACTCCTTTGAACCATTAAGAGTGTTATTTACTCCGTAAAAATCCGACCATTTGAACACAAATTATTTATTTGAAGAAAAAAAGTAGGACAAATTTATTTATATACTTTTTTAATTTGCGTACATTTCTTGCTCTGTATAGAATTGCAATACCATTAATTCAGTCGTGTTTTCTAAAATATCAACCTTTTCTTTCTAACAAATTTAACAAAAATAAAATGTATTTAATTTACAAAGTTACATTAAAAGAAAACTTCACAGTGAAACAGTATGTGTAGTGATTTACTTATTTAGTTGGTCGGTTAAAACATGAACATCAAAGTGTTCCGCAAACTCTTTGATGTAGCTGAGCTGTTTTTATTTGACGAACTCACGCAACACCCATAATATTTAATATGGAAATCATGCCCCTCTTTTGGAAATGCTTTATATATTTTTTAACATTATTTTTGTGTATTTATTCTAAAACGTGTTTATATAATGCCCTATGAGAAAGGAAACTTTAAGAACTTTCAATGAAGAAAAAAAAACTCTATTTTTCCTCCACTTATACTTTTAGTACTGTGACAATTTAATTTAAAAATCATGCTTAAATGCTTAGCTTAATTTCCGAATAAAAATTAGTTTCAAAACAATCTATTTCAATAACTTATTGCCATAATTACATGAGACAGAAAAATAAAATGTGGAAGATTTTTTTTTTATTGTCGATGTTGGACAGATGATCTATTTTTATTTAAGTTTACGACTATCTATGTTTAAATCCGTAACGGTTTGGACAACTCCATTTTGAATATAACTCAGAAATCAAGGGAACTCCTGAATCAAGGATTGGAACAAACTACCCTTCGTGGAGGACTTTTTGAACTAATCCGTATTTGTGTTATTGTGAAAAAAATCACGAAAACACCACACGGTTAACCCCGATGGCAATGAAAATCAAACCCATGATGCGTCTGTCACTGTGAATAAGCCTTAATCCCCCTGCCCCTGTACGGGCTATTGCGGGAATGCCTTACTTAACATTTTATAGATAAATTTTGTATTTTGGTGTTAATTAATAAATTTTGTAAAATTGCTGTTGAAAATCAACCGAAGAACAATAGTGTGAGATGGAACGTACGGTTTTGCTTTGAAAACGAGAATTCTGTATTAAAAGTGAAAATAACTTACATTAGTAGTAAGCAAACAGAGCTTAAAAACAATAAAACAATGTTTTTTATTGCATTCTAAAGAGAGGTATTGGCATTTTTTAATTTTGTCTTTAGACCACGTTGTTGCTGAAAACGATGATTATTTTGAAAACATGATTTGGAGGTTTATTCTCCTTTAGCAGCGTCATCTGTTGGCGTACTCTGTAACTACTTCTGAAACTCGGAAAAAATAAATCACCAAATGAAAATCGTACGTTGGTATCTTCTGCCGTTTTTATTTAATTTATTGTTTTTCATCTTCAGCCATGGTAATTCGATGTTCCCAGAGTTCGATTAATCGATGGTATTTGATACTACTCAGTGATCATTTTTATACTGCGAATCCAATGAATTGGACACGCAAAGTAGTAACCAAATATGTAGTAAATATAAATAGTAAATAAGGATCCAATATTCGTAAGATATGTATCCTATACTATACATTTTTCTATGCTAATAAATTATCAATATATATATATATACAATTATAAATTGAATATGAATATATCATGGATTTAAATTGTATTTACATTCGTCGTTGAACAGCCGACTCAATTTTTGGGTTGTAATTTTGAAAATCAAAAGTTTTGCGAATGAGAGTTTTATTCATTTTATATAAAGGTAAATTTCATCTTCATTTCAGTCATACTAAAATATCATTTTGAGCATTTGCCCTCGTGATCGATTTTTTTATCAGAAATTATGTATACATAAAACGAATGTAAGGAAATATCATTTACAAATTGCAATAACAAAATGCAGATATTTTGGGACAAGGAATTTTCTTACAAACAATAAATAGTGAATTGTGATTATATTTCAAAAATCACAGAAATTAATGTCAGAATAAAAGAATAATCAACAAAAAAAACGTTCCTAAACATCACAGTTACTGCATAAGAAGCGGCCAAAACCGGAAAAAGCACTGCACGCTTCGTGAGCCCATTGTAAGCAATCTGAATATAGTCTGTCAATTAATTAATTATAAATTATTTTTGTAATTTTTTTTAAATAATTTGTTAAATTATATGTGCTAGTTCATATTTTTTTTCAATAATATTACCCTATTTTGTATGCTTTTTGCCAAATCCGGAGAGTTTAATTTTTATATTACACTTTTATTCTACTTTGGCTGTCCCATCTTGCCTGGTCCATCTTGCTCGGATAGTGCATTTTTTAAAAAATTATCTGCAAATTTGTTTAAATAAATAAAGTTTAATTTTCACTGCTCATTATGTTTGTTTAATAATAACACTACAGTGCCACAAATTTGAAAAATTTATTGCAATGTATTAAACAAATAATAACAGCATACAAACATGGAAAAATATTTTAACGTGTTATAAGAAAAACAAAACAATGCTTGCATTTCGGTAACACCTTGCGAACTGATGAAAAAACTTGTGCGTATTGAGAACAACAATATTTTCTTACCGAAAACGATGATGTCGCTACTTTTTAGATGTCGCTACCGTGATACGCATAGAAGAAAAAGCGAAGTCCCGTCTTGCCCGGGCTTCCCCTATGGTCGATATATTACTATATTTATTCGATATCTGCTGAGGATAAATTAAAAGAAACATCAGTTTTCGGAGTACCGGGGAAATGTATACTGGCCAAAGGCATTGAACCTTGAAAAAGCATTGATGTAGGGCATACCGGGCAATGGCACTTAACTAGACCTACTATATATTTCAGAACATTTACCAAAGCTACTATGTGATTGTCAACATTCGCCGGTAGAAGTCAACAACCACCAATTGCGATCATTCTCAGAAACATATACATGTCGGCAGCATAAATGAAATCTAATGCATTGATATCTACAGTTATGTACAGTATGCAAAATAAAAAAAGTGAACACTCTCGATAACTCATAATCTAACGATCGGATTTTCAAGTTTCAATCTTAATGGTTAAATGGATCTCACCAAATATATTATAATTAATTAATGCAGATTATATTTTTACTTACGAAAAAGGACAGAAGAACGCATACTTCCTCTAAATAAAGAATATTTTCGTTGGATACGGATTCTCTAAATATGAGAGGAAGTTGCAATCTTGAAAATAGTCTCAATAGTTGGTCAGGAGAGCGATCGAAAATTATAACACCTTAATG